TTTGTTTGGACTGCTGGGCCACACTAAGCAAGTCAGTTATGTTTTCTTGCCATTATTATTCTAATGATTATTCTAACTCTCATTAATTATACATTTGCTCTGTGCTAGGCCACAACTTCCTCAATTTTAGTCACTAAGGTTCTGGCTTCACTTTATTTGCCATATCCATATTCCTCCTGTATATAATAATTTTTATTTAAAAATTTTCTTTAAATGGACTCACTTTTTCTACCTGGATTTGTCCTAAGCACTAATCTTGTAAAGGGCCAGGTGTGATTGGCTAGTTCAAAACCTAATATGCATGAAAATACACACAGAACTAATCAGGCCGCGTGCGGTGGCTCACCCCTGTATTCCCAGCACTATGGGAGGCCAAGGCAGGTGGATCACTTGAGGTCAGGAGTTTGAGACTAGCCTGGCCAACACAGTGAAACCCTGTGTCTACTAAAAATACAAAAAATTAGCCAGGTGTGGTGGTATAGGCCTGTAGTCCCAGCTACTCGGGAGGTTGAGGCAGGAGAAACACTTGAGCCCGGGAGGCTGAGGTTGCAGTGAGCCGATATCACGTCAGCCACTGCACTCCAGCCTGAGTGACAGAGTGAGACTCTGTCTAAAAAAAAAGAAGAAAAAAAGAACTAATCAAATAAAGTCCACCCTCGTCCTACTTCTGATCACCTTGGGAACCACACTGTGCTGGAAGGCATTACACGCATCACCTCCCAGGAAAGCAAGAATGATTGCCATTTGAAATATGGGAAAACTGAGGATTCAGAGATGTAGACTGACTTGTTCAAAGCCACACAGCTAAAAACCAGCAGCCCCAGGACTCACACCCAGGGCTATCAGAGTCCGGATTCCACCTCCCTTCAGAGCAAGGCTACAGGGACATGAAGATGCAATCATGATCAAGTTTTTTTTTTCCTTTCTTTCTTCTTCCATGAGACAGAGTCTCACTCTGTTGCCCAGGCTGGAGTGCAGCAGCACAATCTCTGCTCATTGTAACCGCTGCCTCCCAGATTCAAACGATTCTCCTGTCTCAGCCTCCTGAGTAGCTGGGATTACAGGCGCCTGCCACCACACCCGGCTAATTTTTGTATTTTTAGTAGAGACGGGGTTTCACCATGTTGGCTAGGATAGTTTCCTGACCTCAGGTGATCCGCCCTTCTTGGCCTCCCAAAGTGCTGGGATTACAGGCATGAGCCACTGCACACAGCCATGGTCAAGTTTTCTCTCCTTGGACCCCTCTCCCTCCTGGCTCAGGGCAGCTCACCTGGCCAGCAGCACGGCAGGGATACCCAGCATGGACAGCAGGGTGTGCTGAGGGGAAAGGCCAGCCTGGGTGAGGCCCAGGTAGGACAGGGCCCCCAGCAGCCCAGCTCCCCCAGTTCCTGAGGACCACCAGGAGATCACAGCCCTGGGAAGGAGAACACAGGGGCGTTCAGGAGGACCAAGGCCGGTCATGGGACAGTCTCTCCCCCTACTCCCTCCTCCACCTGCTTACCTGGGGTAGAAGGCAGTGAGGGAGAGGAAGGTGACCTCCCCCAGGCCTGATGAGATGCTAGCCAAGACCACACCTTGGGGGAGAGAAGCACTGGGATGGTCACACCTCGCCTTGCCGCATTGCCCAGGCCCCTAAGGTGTCTGGCCACGGCACACCGGCCAGGTTCCGGGTCTGAAGCAGAGCCCCCATCCTCTGTGAGTCCCTTCATGGGGAGTGGTACCTCCATCCATCCAGTCATCAGACCAGGGGCAGACAGGCACCCTTGATGTCTCCACCCTTCCATCACAGTCTTTTTCTTTTCTTTGTTTTTGAGATGGAGTCTCACTCTGTTGCCCAGGCTGGAGGGCAGTGGCGTGATCTTGGCTCACTGCAACCTCTGCCTCCTGGGTTCAAGAGATTCTCCTGCCTCAGCCTCCTGAGTAGCTGAGATTACAGGTGTGTGCCACCACACCGAACTAATTTTTGTGTTTTTGGTAGAGACGGGGATTCACCATGTTGGCCAGGTTGGTTTCAAAACTCCGGACCTCCGGTGATCCGCCTGCCTCAGCCTCCCAAACTGCTGGGATTCCAGGCATAAGACACCATGCCTGGCCCATCCCAGAGTCTTGACTCTGTTGACCTCAATCTCCATCTAATCCATCCAGTTTCTCCCATCTCCTCCACCACCTGCCCAAATTGTCTGTCTCCCATCTCCTACTGCTGACAGCCCTAGCAGGCTTCTGTGGGTGACAGAATGAATCCCTTTCCTATGGGAGGCTGGGGAGACTCTCCCCACAAATGATCCAATGTGATTCCTGGGGGCTCCCCACCTGACACAGAACCACACACTCACCACATAGGCTGGTCCCCACAGAATGAGAAGAGGCAACCAGGACGAAGCTTCCAGCAGCACAAATCCCACTGACGAGAACCCGGGGGCTGAGGGGGTGAGAAGGGGAGGGAAGGGGGAGGTCAACCTCTACTCTCAGCTCTCCAGCCCTCCCAGCCTCCCCACTCTCAGCTCCCACCCGCCCTGCCTCCCGCCACCTCCACGCAGACCTGTAGGGCAGTAGGTGAAGGCCAATAGGAGCCAACAATTTGATGACGAGTGTGGGGAGGATGTCCGCCAGGAGCACGGCCTGACAGGAGAATAGAGTGAGACCCCAGAGCTTCCAGGGTATAACCCTCCCAGCCACGTGGCCAAGGAGAGGCAGGAGCTGGCCAAACAGGTCTGCTACAAACACAGGATCTGGAGTCAGGCAGAGCTGGGTTCAAGTCTCAGCTCTGCCACTCCTTAGTTGTGTATCAAGAGTTTATATTCTCTGAGCTTCAATTTCCTTATCTGGAAAATGGGGATATCACAGCGTCTAGCTCACAGGACTGCTGTGTGGATTAATTGAGCTAATATATGCTACGTACAGAAACAGCTCAGAAATTTTATATCTATATATATGTTTTGAGACAGAGACAGAGTCTCACTCTGTCGTCCAGGCTGGAGTGTAATGGCTTGATCTTGGCTCACTGTAACCTCTGCCTCTCTGGTTCAAGTGATTCTCCTGCCTCAGCCTCCTGAGTAGCTGGGATTACAGGCATGTGCCACCATGCCTGGCTAATTTTTGTATTGTTAGTAGAGACGGGGTTTCACCATGTTGGCCAGGCTGGTCTCTAACTACAGGCCTCAAATGATCAGCCCACCTCGGCCTCAGAAATTATATTAAGATCTCAATTATTACATATACATTTTTTTTTTCTTAAGATGGGATCTCACTAGATTGCCCAGGCTGGTCTCAAACTCCCAGGCTCAAGTGATCCTCCCACTGTGGCCTCCCAAAGCACTGGGATTACAGATGTGAGCCACTATACCAGGCCCAGGTCTCAATTGTTTTCATCATGACAGTCCCAGCTGGGTAGTGAAGGGCTAGGAGTGGGGTCTGCAGACCCAGGGTCCCTGGGTCAGGAGGGGACAGGTGAGATAAGTACGCACAGCTGTGGAGACAGAGTTGCAGTCAAATCGTGATGAGCTGTTGTGGGGGATGGGTGTTGGGCTTGGGTCCACCTGATGGGAGAAAAGAACATCTTTCACTCCAGGAGGCAGAGGGATAGACACACAGAGCCTGGCTCCAGTCCCAGCTCTGCCTTCACTTGAAGGATGGCTTTGGGTCAGCAGTGACCGACCTCTCAGGACCTCAGCTTCTCTGCATGCACGATGAAGAGGGGGTTTACATATGAGTCTCACCCTACTAGACACGGGCCAAAGATGGCCCTGTGAATGGACTTTGTTTAGGTAACACATTCAAGAGCTTTCTTTTTTTTTTTTTAATGCAGTCTCACTCTGTTGCCCAGGCTGGAGTGCAGAGGTGTGATCTTGGCTCACTGCAACCTCCGCCTCCCAGTTCAAGCAATTCTCCTGCCTCAGCCCCCTGAGTAGCTTGTACTACAGGTGTGCACCACCATGCCCAGCTAATTTTTGTATTTTTAGTAGAGGCTGGGTTTCACCATGTTAGCCAGGGTGGTTTCCTGTCCTCAGGTGATCCACCCTCCTCGGCCTCCCAAAGTTCTGGGATTATAGGCGTGAGCCGCTGAGCCCAGCCTCAAGAGCTTTCATATAAAAATATGGGTTGCCAGAAAATCTGATCTTGGACCTGCCAGGTGGTAGCTGCTCCGTTTGGATGGGACATGCACGCCCCAGCTTACCACAGACAGGTGGTTCTCAACCAAGGACAGTACCACCCCTCCAGGGAACATTTCGCAATGTTTAGAGACATTCTTGGTTGTCACTACTGGGGGGGTCACAGGGTGTGCTACTGGCATTGAGTGGGTAGAAGCCAGGGAGGCTGCTAAATGTCTCACAATGCACAGGAGGGCCCCGCAACAAAGACTCACCCCACCCAAAATGTCACAGGGCCCAGGTTAAGAAATCCTGCTATAGATGACTGTCTCACCCAGCCAATGTTGAAGTTTACAAAACTGGTGCTCATGAATCTCTTAAATTCCCTTCCTGCTCTGGGGGTCTGGAAGACTGGAAACTTTTTTTTTTTTGAGACTGAGTCTCCCTCTGTCGCCCAGGCTGGAGTGCAATGATGTGATCTTGTGACGCAATCTCGCGTCACTGCAACCTCCACCTCCTGGGTTCAAGCAATTCTCCTGCCTCAGCCTCCCGAGTAGCTGGGATTACCGGTGCCCACCACCACGCCCAGCTAATTTTTTTGTATTTGTAGTAGAGACAGGGTTTCACCATGTTGGTCAGGCTGGTCTCGAACTCCTGACCTCAGGTGATCTGCCCGTCTTGGCCTCCCAAAGTGCTGGGATTACAGGCATGAGCCACTGCACCCAGCCAGAGACTGGAAACTTTAGCCCCCTTGTCCCACCCCATTCCATGAGTTTTTCAAGGGGGCCTCTGTCCCATGCCCTCATCTTCCCACAGGGACTAACCACGGTGGTGGTGGTAGAGAGAGGGTCACTTACATGGCTCTGGTTTCCCGATGTCCTCTCGTGGCTAAGGATGTCATGGGCGGCACTCAGCATCACCACGTAAGAGAAGTTGTTGCAAAGGCCCAGCAGCCTGGAAGGAGCAGGCCAGGTCTCAGCTCCCTTTGGATCCTGCAGCCATCTGCAGCCTTCATGCCAAATCTCCCCTTACCTGTGCCCTTCAATCAGCTCCCTCTTTTTTTCTATCACCAGATCCCATCCTCATTCAGTGTTGGGGTCAGAAATATAGGCTTTGGCGCTTGGGCGCATAGTGAGACCCCTGTCTCTACAAAAAATTTAAAATTTAGCCAGGTGTGGTGGCTCGCACTGTTATCCCAGCTACTTGGGAGGCTGAGGGGGAGGACTGTTTGAGTCTAGGAGTTAGAGGCTGCAGTGACCTGTGATCACGCCACTGCACTCCAGCCTGGGTGACAGAGCAAGACCCTGTCACAAAAATAAAAAATAAAAGGAAGAAATAAGGGCTTTGGGATCTCAGACTTGGATTCACTTCCTGCCTCTAAGGCCTCTCCTGGAAGCTCTCTGTGACCACTCTCTCCTCTGAGCTCCCACTGGGACTCAGTTCCTGGGGCATTTCTCATCCTCTGACACACTGCAGTACATTAAGAAAAAAAAAAATCCTGGGGCAACCAGGTGCGGTGGCTCACACCTGTAATCCCAGCACTTTGGGAGGCCAAGGTGAGCAGATCATTTGAGGCCAGGAGTTTGAGACAAGCCTGGCCAACATGACGAAAACCTGTCTCTACTAAAAATACAAAAATCAGTTGGTCATGGTGGCTCGAGCCTGTAATCCCAGCTACTTGGGAGGCTGAGGCAGGAGAATCACCTGAACCAGGGAGGTGGAGGTTATAGTGAGCCAAGATCACGCCACTGCACTCCAGACTGGGCAACAGGGCAAGACTCTGTCTCCAAAAAAAAAAAAAAAAAAAAGAAAAGAAAAAAATCCTGGAGCTGGAAATTGAAGGGACTGTGTTCAAGTCCCAAGTCTGCCTATTCCCACTTTCTCAGTCTACTCATGTGTAAAACGGGGACACCAATTTCTCTCCTGACTACCCCACAAGATGCTGCATGGATCAAAACAAGATAAGACCAAAGGCCTTTAGGATCCAGGAAGGTTCCGTCTGCTTACTGTCATCTCCCAGAGCTGCACTCAGCAATGGGAGGGAATCTGGGTCTCGTGCCACAGATTTCATCAGGGGCCTTTTCATAAGCCTTTGAAGTAGAATTACAATACTCCTCTTCCCATTTGACTGTTGAGGAACCAGGCTTAGAGAGGTTAAGTGACTCTTCCACATAGTACATGGGAAACCACTTCCAACCCAGTCTGGAAGTGGATTGAGGACCCAAGTCCTCAACGTTTAGGCTAATGCTAAAAGTATTTCCCGAGGCTCGGTATTTGAATAAGTTTTGAAGGTGGATGGATGGATGACCTTTTAAAAGGTTTTAGGGTTGGGCGTGGTGGCTCACCCTGTAATCCCAACACTTTGGGAGGTGGAGGAAGGCAGATCACCAGAGATCAGGAGTTCGAGACCAGCCTGGCCAACACGGTGAAATCCCATCTCTACTAAAAATACAAAAATTTAGCTGTGTGTGGTAGCACATGCCTGTAATCCCAGCTACTCAGGGGGCTGAGGCAGGAGAATAGCTTGAACCTGGGAGGTGGAGGTTTTGGTGAGCCAAGATCAGGCAACTGCACTCCAGCCTGGGAGACAGAGTGAGACTCTGTCTCAAAAATAAAATAATAAAATAAAATAAAATAAAAAAGTTTTAGGCCCAGCATGGTGGCTCATGCTTGTAATCTCAGCACTTTGGGAGGCTGAGGTAGGAGGATCACTTGAGGCTAGGGGTTGGACACCAGTCCAGTTCCCAAAGTGAGATCCCGTCTCTATAAAAAATAAAAAAATTAGCCAGGTGTGGTAGTGCACACCTGTAGTCACAGCTATTTGGAGGAAGAAGTGGGAGGATCACTTGAGCCCAGGAGTTCCAGGCTTCAGTGAGCTGTGACTGCACCACTGCATTCCAACCTGGGCAACAGAGTAAGACTCTGTCACAAAAAGAAAAAAATAATAATAAGATAAAATAAATTAAAATAAAAAGTTTTAGTAGTGATGCATTTGTTTAAATGTTCATTAAGAAAATACTGGTTTTCCATGTGGAGTATTTTCTTTTTAAAAATACATGCATTAAAAAACTTCAAGGCTGAAATGGCTGGAGGAAAAACACAAGTAAATAATCCTACAGGTGGTATGAGGATCTGGCCAAAGCCGGAAGATGATAAGGAATGAAGTTTGGAAAATTTACATGCTGCCTGGGGGCAAACCAGTGGATTCGGTAAATCTTTGTGGGTTCTGTTCCTGTGAGCAGCTCAACTCTTTCTTCCCCCTGTCCTCCTGTCACTTCCCTCTTCCTATGCCACTGTCACTTTTGCTGAACTCTCAGGTCACTCACCAGAAGCCCACCGCGTTCTTCCAATGCGTACTCTGACGGTCCAACAGAGGGAGCCGGGGCTCCGGGACGGTCTCCTCCCCTGGGAGAGTGAGAAGAGGGCATGACCCCCACCCACTCTCAGGCACACGACGGCCCCATGCGTGTCCTCCCGGGGCCGAGTCAGCTCTCACTCCCCTCGGGTGGGCTGCGAGCCAGAGGTGGTCGCTCCCAGGAGGGTGGGCAGGAATACTCACCCTCGGAATCCGAAAGGCGCCGTCGCGAGCCCGCACAGCCTCCCATGGCATCAAGTTCAGGTCCCCCAAGGGTCCAGGGTCACAAAGTGTCCAGAGGGGGCTCCCACGGGAGGGATGAGGGTCTGTGACAGGCGACAAGGATCAACGTCCGATTGTCGGTCCCAGCTCTGGCTTGTCTGCGGCGCTCGCGCCCCGTGATCCATCAGGAAAGCCCGGGACTCCATCTCGCGCGCCCCACGACCCACTACGACCCACCACGCCCCACCCATCGGACTCTGCCCCCGCCCCGTCTACAGCAGGGACCCTGCGGCCTGTACCTTTAAGAGCAGCAGAACGTGCGGCACAGTGAGGAGGCAGGTTGTCGGGTCACGTGACAGCACCCGCGGGTTCCCCCATCACGTGCTCGGAGGTCCTCCCTACTTCCGGGTCCTCTCTGTCTTCGCTTTGGGCCTTCTCAGCTTTGGAGCGTGAGAAAGGGAGAAGCCGGAGAACCTTGGAACAGTAGGTTTTAAACTGGAGCCGGTGGGAGCAGCAAGTAGAGCCATGACCTTAGATCAATGGCGCCCAAGACCGAGACGGTATCCTGCCAGCACTAGTCGTGGCTGCGGAGGCTTCAGCTCCTTTTCCTTCAGTACTCACTTGCCAGAAACAAATATGACCACCCGCCTACTACTCCCCCCGCCCTTCCTTTTTTTTTAGGCAGGTCTGTTTCTGTTGCGAACAAAGACAACCAGCGTCAGATCATTCTTACTCCCATCTGTTGCCCTTACAAATTATTTTAGAGACCTAAATAAACATAACATCCACCTAAGGGGTTTTCATGAATTATCTATTGACAGTATCCAAGATGTTAAGAGATTCCCTTTTCCAAATTATCCTAGAACCAAAAAATATCACGGCGGTTCAACCCCCGGTGTTACAGATGAGAAAACCAAGGTACATATATGTATATATATATACACACATACATGTACAACAAAAATTAGCTGGGCATGGTGGCGCATGCCTGTAGTCGTAGATACCTTGGAGGCTGAGGTGGGAGGATCACTGTCCCTAGGAGATTGAAGCTACAGTGAGCTATGATCCCACCACTGCACTCCAGCCTGGGCGACAGAGATCCTGTCCAAAAAAAAGAAAAATGTAAAAAGAAAAGAAGATATATATATATATATGAAAAAATTGGAAAGTTGCTGATAATCATACAATGTTAGACCTAAAGGTGACCTTAGAGACCTGTATGGTGATAAGAAATAGAGCACCAGAGGCAGGGAGCCATTGGGTTGGCTGTAGGCTGCTGCAGGATTCCTGCCTCCATCAAAGTTGGTGCTTCGACCCGATTTTTTTCTTTTTTTAGCACAGAGTCTTGCTCTGCTGCCCAGGCTGGAGTGCAGTGTCAGGATCTTGGTTTGCTGCAACTTTGACCTCCCAGGCTTAGGCAATCCTTCCACCTCAGCATCCCGAGTAGCTGCGACAGCAGGTGCACAGCACTGTGCCCATCTGATTTTTGTACTTTTTGTAGAGACAGGATTTTGCCATGTTGCCCAGGCTGCCCTCAAACTCCTGGGCTCAAGCAATCCACCCGCCTCAGCCTCCCAATGTGCGGTGACTACAGGTGTGAGCCACCGCGCTCCGCCAGACTAAATTATTTTAATTAAGGCCCAAGATTCTGATTCTGTGATTTCATCCAACTGCCCTAATTGGAATAGGAAAGTGGGGCTTGGGAGGAGAGAAGGAGGGTATGGGAAGAGATAGAGCTAAGTCACTTTGTGTAGTTCCAAGTAAGGAGTCATACCCTTACCGTCCTCTAGGTGGGGAGCGGCATCCTGCGTTCCCTTGTCCTTGGCCTCATCTCCGCTGTGGCTGTGTCACCTCTATCTGCTCTTTCTTACCACCATGTCTTCAGAATGCTGTTTGAAATGTGCCCTCTGGCGGGAAGAGGTGGCTCATGCCTGTAATCCCTGCACTTTGGGAGGCCAAAGTGGGCTGATCACCTGAGAGCAAGAGTTCAAGACCAGCCTGGCCAAGGTGGTGAAAACCCCGTTTATACTAAAGATACAAAAATTATCCAGGCGTGGTGACGCACACCTGTAATCCCAGCTACTTGGGAGGCTGAGGCAGGAGAATCATTTGAATCTGGGAGGCAGAGCCAAGATCTCACCACTGCATTCCAGCCTGGGTGACAGAGTGAGACTCAGTCTCAAAAAATCAAAAGTAAAATAAAAAAGAAAAATGTGACCCCCTCCCCTTTAGGGTAAAAAAAAAATTCCTGAGGCGGCAGGGAGCGGTGGGTCACACCTATAATCACAGCACTTTGGGAGGCCTGCCTCTGGGACTCCAAAGGCCAGGCAGGGAGGGGAGGAGGCCTCCCACATCACTCAACTGATGGAAAGTGGAATCCTATTACCTGTGCAGGGCTCTAGAAATGCAGCAGCATTTCATACGTTGCATCTGCCATCAAGGAAGTCACAGGACGGTGGGAGGAAGACACAGATAAGGCTACAGTACAAAGTTTAGCAAGTTCTCTCTTGTGAGGCTAATCATAGATGAGGGGTTGTGCACTGGAGCCACCAATCCAGCCCCTTCCGCCTTTCGGGAAAGCAGCAACGACAGTGAAATGTGTCAGAGCTCCCAACAGCACCCTCGTCACTGCTGCTCTTACTCCTCAGGCAAAACAGGAACCACAAACCCCAGCTTCCTCTCGCAGAGGGTCTGCGGCTTGTAGGGGAGACGGAAATGGCTGAGGTGTGGATACAAGACCTGAGTCACTTAAGCTGCCATTGCCACATGTCCCCTCCCTCCCCCTTCCCCACCCCCAGCTCTAAGGACTCCTGTTTCCACCTTGTCCTTTCCGGCCTCTCCCTTGCCCTTTATTTCCAAACGAGCGCCTGAGACCCTGTGTGATGTTCACCCATTTCCAAGGCTGCAGTGGGAGTTGCTGTGGGCATCGGGGGCCAGGGGCAGGGCCCAGGGTGGGGACGTGTCAGGGAGACACAGGGGAAGAGGAAGTGTCTTGCGTCCTGGGGAAGACTGGCTTGTCTTGGTGGGTGGGGACAGTCATTAGCAACTTTCTGGACACACGGACAGAGACAGACAGGATGGACTTTCTCCGGCTACACCTCCCTGGGCTGCACCAGGCCTTGAGGGGGGCACTGGTGAGAGGGGCAAAGAGCTGCCCGAGACTTGCACCCCGTTTCCTGGGGCCTCACCTCTGGGCACCTCCCCTGGGGCCTTACCTTTCCCCTCCTCCCTTTGGTCTCCTCAGACTGGAGATTGCTTTCTTGGGATCAGGCAGGCTCCAGCCTAACCGTTTCTAAATTTCAGTCCCCACCCCCACACCAGCATCCTCATACCCCTAATCCACGCCCTTTCTGACTACTTCTGCAAATCCTCTTCTCCTCTCAGATCCCAGGACCCTCTTCCTTAACCTGGACTCCTCCAGCCAGGGCCCCCTGGGAAAGCGCTGGGACTCCCCTTAATGCCTCTCCCCTCCCTCTTTTTTTCTAGGATTCCCTCGGCACCTTTGTCGCCTACCTCTTGGGAGATGCAGTCCCCACTGTAGAGCCGGAGGCGCGGGCAGCTGAGGAACTGGGGGCGGTGGCAGTGGGAAGGACAGGGAAGGTTGTAGAGGAGGAAGCCCAGGAGGCCCTGGAGGGCCGGAGAGGTGGCCAAAGCCAGGGGGCTGGACGGCTGAGAGGGCCTGGGGAGGACGGAAGACGTGAAGCCGGGAGCTCAGCTGCGGAACAGACCTGGAGCTGGGGAGATGGCAGCTCCCATGGGTCCCAAGCAGAGAGGCAGGACAGTGGGGCTGGGGAGGCAGCCAAGGCAGCCAGGTGCCAGGAGCCAAGTGCCCCCTTGGAGGCCAGAAAGAAGTCCAAGGTAGGGTCTAGGGCTTGCCAAGACAGGAGCGGCCAGGCCCAGGAGAGGCAGGAGCCCGATGAGCAGGAAGTGAACAGAGAGGAGAGGCTGAGAACCTGGGAACAGGAGGAGGAGGAGGAGGAAGAGGTCAGGGCAAGACAGCCAGGGATGGCCAGAGGGGTGGAGTCAGAGTGGACCTGGCACAGGGAGCGGGAGGGGAAGGCTGGTGCTTGCGGGACAAAGGCGGCAGGGGACGACCTGGATACTGAGCAGGGGATCAGGGAGGCAGATGCCGAGGAAACTGAGGGACCCGGGGCTGAATGGGCTGGGAAGGGAGAAGAGGTTGTGGTGGTGGAGGAGGCCAGTGAAAGCAGAAAGGCACAGGTGACACGGGGCCCAGGGGCAGAGTCTGAGGACTGGACAGCCTTAGGCAGAGAGGAGGCTAGGACAACTCCAGGTAGGGAGGAGGCCAGGATAATTTTAGATGGGGAGGAAGCCAGGACAGCCTCAGGCCAGGAGGAGGCTGGGACAACCTCAGGCAGGGAGGAGGCAGCCGCCTCAGGAGGGGAGGAGGCCGGGACAGCCTCAGGCAGGGAGGAGGCAGCCTCAGGAGGGGAGGAGGCCGGGACAGCCTCAGGAGGGGAGGAGGCCAAGACAGTCTCAGGAGGGGAGGAG